CCACAGTGAGAAAGTTTCAGCAGCAGCTCCTCTAAAGTTTCCTCTGAAGTGTGTGGGTCATAGGGCAGACTCCCACGGGACACCTCATGACCAACTCCGTGGTCATCCAAGGGGCCCATTGGACCCCCTCCCACAAGATGCTACCCCAACATAGGAGCTTTCCTTCATTCTCCCACATTCTCTTCTGCTTTCCTCAGCTGGGGAAGGGGACAGGTGAGACTCTTCAGAAGTAAGGAAGATGAAGATGGCCTAACTTTAGGATAAAATGTGAAAAAAACAAACAGATTCTATACTGTGAAGATTAACTTCTTTGAAGCATTTGCCTTTTTTTTCTTTCACAATTGAGATTTTATTGGTTGTTCTGTGGATCAATACACAGACATTTCAATTTGTACACAATTCTTAACATATGTACCAAAAATCTAAAAAAATCATGTAGTTGTGATTCTTTTCCAAACAGTTATTCCAGTGACTTAGAAGCTTAAAATGTGGAAGCAAATTTTCCTTAACAGGGTATCAAGTACCAATATCATCCAGTGTTGATATGCTGTTACATCGTAAGTCCCACCAATTCACAATTTAATATCATATACACTGCATACTCAAACTTTCAATCCTTCACTGCACATTAACAAAGTTACTAGGAAAACTGGACTACCACGACCAAAGATGTTACAGAGTGCACAAAATTCTGACCAGGAGAGCCAAGATCAAGAAGTGGTTTGCTTTAGGAAACATCTCTACCAAAAACAACATGGGAAGAGATGCAATTTAAAGTGTTCAACAACACTGTAAAATGATTATGAATCAATAAAAAATGTAAAAAAAAATAAATAAATAAAATAAAGTGTTCAAGACATTAAATGCACAACTGACTCCAAATTGCAATTTAATTATGCTCTGTATTATAGGATATAAAAACTACCCTCCCCCATTATGGCATGTTAAGCTGATACCGAAGACAATCAAAGTCTCCCATATTCAATATCCCGCTATTTTCTGGTTGTATCAAAAAATAAACAACCGGCAAATGATTTCACGTCTTTAAAAAAAGCATTTACACTTAAAAAATAGGATGAGGTGGGATTCCCTCCTTCTTAAAAATGTTTCTAGAGCTACTATAAAATTTGCATTTACAAAATAGTTGATAAATATACTCCTCTGGATTGTACAAGAAGGGAGACAGGGCCCACTGATAAGACCAGGTGAGTGCTATTAATCAGACTTGGCTCCTTTCTCTTCTGTTTCATCAGAGGCTGGGCTCTCCTCATTTTTAGTTTCTCCGTTTTCTGCAGGAAAATCTTCTTTAATTTCTTGGTTAGCCACTTCGGCCTGTTTTCCCTTTTTCCCTTTTGTTTACACTTTTCTGTCTGAAGATTTATCCTTTCCTTTCGCCTTTTTTGGCTTCGTTTTCACTTTTAGCTGACAACCTCGCCGATCTCCTCTTCGGCTCCTCCTTCACCGCCCCGTCAGCGGTCATCTTAGCAAAAACTCTTTGAATCAACAAATATGTGGACAAATGAAGCTATACATTTTGGTTTGAGATTAGGCTTTCAGAGGTTTTTTTTCCCCCATGAATGGCTTTTATAATTGGCCCCTCTAAGGGCTATGAGAAGGAAATTTCAGGACACCAGAGACAGAATCTGATAAAAAGTACTTCCAAATGCCTGTTTAATATCCTACTGAAAAGATTATACAGCATTTGGCTGCTACTCAGACTGGTTACGACCATTTGATGGTGAGGTTAATTTTTGTGAAACTGACCAGTTGTGTGTCTCTACTCTTCTGGCAGAGGCAGCAGTAATCAAAATGTGTTTTTCTTACAGCTGAATGACAATGGAGATAGTGTTATGTCCCTTTAATACCGTCCCTGGAGCAGAAACTAAGGACAGTCGGAGCTCACGCGGTGTAGATTCAATAAAGAGGACCCTCTCTATTTGCAAAGGGCAACATTAAAAGAGGAAGCAAGCATTCACTGTTCCAAATATTGCAAGATGAGAAATTATTCGGGGAAGATCACACAGTTAATGATGTGACTCAAGAACCATAGGAAAGATGCACAAATCGTTCATTACTTAGTTTCCCACAATAAAAAAATGAATCATCTTTTATTTATACCGAAAGTGTCTGAGGGCAATTTGGGACCATCAGGGGAAATTTAACAAAAGTCTCTAAAGACAGTGGTCTGTAAGGGAAAAAGATACTACAACTATCAAGTGAGACTTAAGGAAGTCCCCATGGAGTTCTCTGGTCACCAACGCTGGATAAATATACGGGAAAATATCAGGAGAAATCCTGTTTTGAATTATAATCTGTGTGCATCCATGAAGTGGAATAGTTTGGTCTCTCAAAAATAGCTATACTTTGTTTACACATTTATGGAACACATTCTCACTCCAGAAATTAAAATCTCACCTATAGTTGGTCCCTTGAAGCTCTACCCTGTTACAGCAGCAGAGTGAGCCTTCTGATCAGTCTGAAAAGTTATAATGTTTTTTAAATTTTATTTATTTTTTAAAAAATGGTGGGGGGAGATAATTAGGTATTTATTTATTTGTTTGTTTGTTTTATGGAGGCACTGGGGATTGAACCCAAGACCTTGTGCATGCTAAGCACACACCCCACCACTGAGCTATGCCCTCCCCCCTTGAAAAGTTACAATGATTTTGAAAAGTAATTCTGCAACAGCTATTAAAATCTATAAGCATACATACTCTTCATCCCATCAGACCCACTTTGAGGAATCTATCACACAGGGATAAAATGTCAGCACATACGAACATATGGAACTAGATGTTTATTGAAGCTTAATCTTAATGACAATAATTCAGTAACAACTTGGATAATTATAGTAGAGAAACAGATAAACTGTTGTATTATATGTCATGAAAACATATTATCTATGAAAAATGAATGACAACAATACATTATCAAAAGAAAGGGATCCCTAATATATTGTTGAATTTGGAAAACTCAACAAATTAAACATGTTCATACCAAGAAATGCAGATTATTTGGCCATTTGTAAAATTCAAACAGAGTTCCACTGAGCAGTGACCAAATATCACACGGCTTCTCAGCACAGCCAGAGTGTGTGTAAATCCACTTTTCTTCGCCATAATTTCACCAAAGCTCTTTTCATCTCACTGTTTCGCAAACTGTAGATCAGTGGATTCAGCAGAGGTGTGAGCAACGTGTAAGCCAAAGACATCAGCTTCTTGGTTTCTGGGGAGTAGCCAGATTTGGGTTGTAAGTAAGTCATACTGGCCGTGCCATAGAAGAGGGTGACAGAGGTGAGATGGGAGGCACAGGTGGAAAAGGCTTTTTGCCTTCCGGTTGTCGATGGCATCTTCAGGATGGCAAAGAGGATTCGAGTGTAAGACAAGAGTATCAACAGGAAAGGAACCATAATGATCAAAATGGTGCCAGTGAATGCGTAGATTTCAAACATAAAGGTGTCTGCACATGCAAGCTCTAGCACTGGGGGAGTCTCACAGAAGAGATGATTAATTTCATTGGGGCCACAAAAGGGAAAACTAAAAACCCACGAGGTCTGCATAGTAGCCACCATGATCCCTGAGACCCATGAGAATATCACTAATTTCATGAAAACCTTTTTGTTCATAATCACTGGGTAGCTCAGAGGACAGCAGATTGCAGCAAATCGGTCATAAGCCATTGCCCCCAGGAGAAAACATTCAGTCCCACCAAAAAAAAGAACAAAATACATCTGTGCAAAACAGCTCACAAATGAAATTGAAGTTTTTTCAGTGGCGAGGACCACCAGCATTTCAGGCATAATGACTGCACTGAAACTGACATCAACCACAGACAAGTTCAGGAGAAACAAGTACATGGGAACGTGGAGGCTCTGTTCCAGGGAGATGACGACTATAATGATGGCATTTCCCATCAGGGTCACCAAGTAAACAACCAGGAACACCCCAAAGAGCTGCCCCTGGAGTTCAGGAAAGTCAGAAAAGCCCAAGAGGATGAACTCAACCACAGAGCTTTGGTTTTGCCTTTTCATTTCAGTGGTGGAGCACATACTGTTTTTACAGACATTATGTGTAAATTATGAAGCCACAATTCAATAGCTGAGAGTTTGAATCTAGTATTCCTGACAGAAGATATAATGATGAATTCATTTAGACAAGTCTTCTAGTTGGCAGTTTTGAGAATGGCCAATAACAAGAATTAATGAATCTTTCAAGTACAAATGAAGAAGTGAAGAATTTGGGCTCAGAAATCTTGTTTCAGAAGTACAAAATGACAGCAGATGTTCTCTGGCAACTTTTTTGCTAGGTGGAAAATTAATCCTTTTCTTAAAACAGACACAGACATTATATTATTTAGAATCCATTGCCTATTACATTGATGTATGCATCTCTGTTCTTTTCAACTGTATATTTATATATAAATTTTCAAATAAACAAATAGCAAAAGATATCCCGAAAAAAGTGTAACTAATAATTCAAAATTAAAACAAATTTTTGATGAATATCTACTATAAATGCCAAAATTCAAAATGCATTTACATTACTTTGTTTAAAATGAAATATATGAATAATACACCCAAAGAAATACAGAAACACTGAAAAGGGGTTGAATTTAAATGCATTTTTCTCAGATGAACGTAAGTAAATTGTTTCAAGCATATTTATTTCTGGTCAGAGTGGATCTGACTTATACTGAAATTTGCTTAAATGAGAAATTTTAGTCAGTTCTCCATGGCCCATCCTCGTGCCCATAAAGTTTTCAGGGCTATAGAAAATATGGCTTTTTAAAATCATTCTGATCCTGTGGTTTAAACAGTCTCTCTCCCTCTCCCTCTCCCCCACTCCCTACCGCAGAATTCTCTGAATCCCATCTCCCTAGTTTATTTTTTCTGTAACGTGTATCACCAACTGAAATAGCACGTATTTATTTTCATTTTATGCTTATTATCCAACTCTCCCTTCTGGAATGTAAGCTCCAGGAGAACAGGAACTTCATTCTGTTGTTCACTGTGTTCTCAGTGCCTGGAATAGATACTAAATGATGTAATAGATGCTAAACCAGTATTTATTGAGTAGATGGAGGAATAAATATTAAAATTGGGAAAACCGAGGCTGTGCTCTTAAGGAACATAGTGTCTGAAGGAAAAATAAATCGAATACAAAAAAAATAGAGAGCCTCCGAGTTAATCCATGGCTTCTGTAGAAGTTTGAGGCCCCTTGTGGGATTGGAAATATCACTAGACTGGGGGCTTGGGCTTTAGTCCTGACTCTGCCACTGCCTCCAAGGTAAGTCTCTGCTCCTCCCTGCACTCAGGTTCCTCTATATGGTTGGGGGCAGGAAAATGGGCCCAAGACATCTCTTCTGGCTCTGATATGAGTGTTTCTCTGATTTGTTCATGGAAAACTGTAGGCTGCCAGGCTTTCTCTCCACTGAGGTGACAGCCAGGCTGAAGGGTGGCTGGAAGAGTGGTCAGTGTGCACATAGGAGGAATGCGTGCTGCCTGAGTCCTTTGGTCCAGCCAGTCCCAAGCAAAGCTGACCATCTTCCTCCCGATCCAGCTGCTCTTCCTGAGCCGCTCTCTGGGCAGAGCACCTCACTTCTCCCCTGATCTCCCCTCCAGTCACCCAGGTCAACTCTCCCCTGCCCCCAGCATCCTATTCACTGTTGGGCCAATGGACCTTTAAACCCTGGAGCCCCTCTGGGCTCAGCAAGTTCGTTCCCACTGACACTGCTCCAGTTCACTGATTTTTTCCGTCCCCCTCCACCTCCTTGATCATTAAATGGTCTCCTAACTGGCTTCTCCAAGTTTTGCAAATTCTCCTCCAATCTATTTCTCATACCTCTGCCAAAATAATATCATCCTCCCTCCCTGAAACTTTAGGGTCTCCTTTTATCGGTAAAACAAAATGCTTACTTCTCAGCCTGGCATTTAAGGGAAAGCAGAGTGAGAACAACTGCTCCAGAAATTTAAAGAGGGCAATATTACTTACGAATGGAGAGAAAGAGTGAAAAACTATCATCACAGGATGTCATGGTAGAAGGGCCATTAAGTGGAGGGAGGAAGGCTGGCTGGCTGAAATCAAAGGTATTCGATGACATCTTAGTACTAGAATTGGCCTTTGGAGGCTGCTTTGAAAACTAGCCGACTTTCACTGCAGGACGTGAGGAAGCCAGGAGGACAGAAGGGCAAACAAGCTGAAGACATGCAATGTTGTCTTGGGCTCAGATCATTAGGACAATAGCAGAGAATAAAAGGCAAGTTGATTTACTGAGTTTGGCCATAGTGGCATATTAGAATCAAATGTTTGTATTAACTTTACTATTTTGGATGTCAAAAAATCTCCCCAAATTAGTAAAGTGAATTCTACAGGAAAAAAACTTTTAAGTATCATTTCTCATAGACAAAAGTACAAAACCAAATTAGTTTTAAAAATAAGAAAATTTATAGAGTAGCCTATTAAAAACAGATAAACTTCAGGGGCTGATAAAGTTAACAAAACAAATCTGAAAGATTGAAAAAAAAGAAAAAAACTGAACCTGAGTGCTCCATCTTTTCCCTTTAACATGAACATGAATGCTGGCCTGACTAATTCAGGGACATGTTCTTCTGGCTCTAGTGTTAACTTCCTGTCTGACCTTGGGCAAATCACTGCCTCCTCTGGGTTTCATCTTTCTCCACGACTGGCCTTATTAATGACCACCTCCCACCTCAGTGACAAACCTCTATGGATTGATGATTAGTGCAAGCAAACTACGTATAGCTCTAATTATTGCCCAAACTTTTATGTGAGTCTGAAAAAGACAGAGTAGTTGGCAATCTTACCTGAGCACTGACAGGCATCTCTAATTGTCAGTGAGAAGAACAGTAAGCGACAAACCCACTGACAGGTACATAAGCAGAATCTTCAGTTCCTTACCTAGTGATTATTGATTTTCAGCCCGTTTAAACAGATGTTTCACTGCTTTAGTTAAAAAACCCTCCCATAAATATAAGTCGGAGGTTCAAAGCTCTGATTTTGTAACATTAGATGGCATTAAATGGTTTGCCTTACGAAGATCTTTCTCTTGAAGTCTAATCCCAACTTACATAGACTTTCCCCAAACGGACGTAAGAAAGGTTAATTGCACAAACTTGAAGCAACATTCTCAGTTGCTACAGGAAATAAACACTTCTTCACTCAAGAGACTCAATTCCACCCTGACATCCCCCACTAGGAAATTAAAGCAGAGGCTGAATGGATGTTGTAAATAGGCAGAATGAAGAACAGAGGAAGGCATGGGGACGTGAGCAAAGCAGGGTGATCTAGACGGAGGGTCTGATTGCACAGGGTGGCCAGTTTCTGCAGTGACTGGAAACACGTTAAGACAAGTAGGTTGAAGTTACTTTATGGAAAGCCTGGGTGTCACTACCAAAATGTTTCATATTTTCTAGGTGAAAACGGTCTAACACTGAAAATCTGGGGGGAAAAGTCATTCAGGTGATTTTATAGTTAGGGTTTTTTAACTTGAAGTCAAAACATCGAACTAGCTATATGACTGAGCAAATGTGTAACTTCTCTGGCTCTATTACTTTTCTGCTAAAATGAAGATTACATTATTAATCTCATAGGGCATGTGTAAGAACCAGGGGACTCAGTGTTCAGTCTATACTGACTTAAACAGTCAAGAAAACCATTCGCTTAGTCCCAGCAGAATGTAGAGATAAATGAATCTGCAGGCTTGGCTTTATCCAGAACTCAGATGCTATAACCAGGACCTGGGTTCCCTTTCTGTATTTCTCATCTCTGCTTCCTTAGAGTAGGTTCCATGCTCAAGGAAGTTCTCCCCTCCTAGAGGCAATAAAGCTGCCAACAATACTTCGGGATACATCCTCTCTAGTCTGTTTCTCGTGGGAAATATACCAGTTGTCCAGGGGAACAAAGGTTTTCATTCACAAAAACCCATCCAGGGACCCCTCTCATATTATTCACTGTAGTGGGATCACATGTAAAAACCATGAGCCAGACACTGACAGTGACCAGGACGGGAAATGCTGCCTAATGTGCACTTCTCATGGTCCCTAGTCCATAACCGGGGACAGCATCAATTCCAGCTGTGTATACCTGAAAAGGTTTAATGAAGAGGTTCCCCAACAGAAATAAATGTATTGTTGGCGGGAGAAGGAGGCCAATGAATGGTGTTCTCCAATTTTAAAAAAAAAAGAAGAAGAAGAAATTTCAGCATGAGGAAAACTTCTAGTTGCCTTATGCAAAAAAATATATAGGAGGTTCATTTCCAAAGAGGGTAGAGGAATAGTCCAAACCTTAAGGCAAGGGAGTCAGCAGTAGTCCTAGAAATGAGGCCCAGAGCTTCAAAAATGACCACAGAATGGCTCCTTGGGAATGACAGCAACACTGCCAACCCCATTTCAGAGGGGGGACAAAAATCTTTGGTCCCTGGGATAAGCAATAGAAAAGGATAAAGGGGTTATGCCAGCCTGTATTTAAGGAGAGAAGGCCTAGGGGGGCAGTGCCTGTGTGCACCTGGGGAGGGATAAAAATTTATAACCAGTTTCCTCCCTCTGTACTAGTGAACTTAATTCCAGTTTTATCCATGTCTGTCCATGTGCTGATGTGAAAAAGACATACTACAAGCAGGAAACAGGCAGAGTCGCGTGACCTTTCTCTGTAAGTACCCAGCCACCTCACACACGTCCGACTGAATGTATTCTCTGGCCATCACTCCCTACCTGGTAAACCATGTCCTGACTTTGCCGAACAGTGGAGGCAGTGGTCAAGCGTAGCGCACCAACCCCGTCTCAAAGTTGCCACGGATCTACTAACAAAAATACAGTCTTTTCCTGGCAACCCTTTTGCAAATAATCCCAAGAATACTCAGCTGTGTTCACATTTTAACCTGCTACAGAAGCCTCACCAGTCTGTGAGTTGTACAAGGGCCCTCTTTCCTTTTAGGAATCCCAGGGAAGGTGGGGAGAGGTTGGGGGTTTTGGTTCTGGAATAATTGGAGATAGAGCTAATATCTTACCGCAGGCGGCTCACGGCTGTGGCCTG